TATCTGAGATCTTTCTTCCTTCTTTAGGAAGGCCTGGATTGCTATATACTTTCCTCATATGACCGCCTTGCTGCGTCCCAGAGATTTTGGGTGGTGGTGTCATCATTTTCATTGACTTCCATATACTGTTAAATTTCCTCTTTAACTTCTTGGTTAGCCCATTCATTCTTTAGTAGGATGTTCTTCAGTCTCCAAGTATTTGTTACCTTTCCAAATTTTTTCTTGTGGTTGATTTCAAGTTTCATAGCATTGTGGTCTGAAAATATGCACCATATGATCTCGATCTTTTTGTAGTTACTTAGGGCTGATTTGTGTCCCAGTATATGGTCTATTCTGGAGAAAGTTCCAAGTGCACTGGAGCAGAATGTATATTCTACTGCTTTGGGAAGAAATGTTCTGAATATATCTGTTAAGTCCGTCTGGTCCAGTGTGTCATTCAAAGCCATTGTTTCCTTGTTGATTTTTTGATTACACGATCTGTCCATTGCTATGAGTGGGGTGTTGAAGTCTCCTACTATTATGGTATTACTATTGATGAGTTTCTTTATGTTTGTGATTCATTGATTTATATATTTGGGTGCCTCCACATTTGGCACATAAATGTTTACAATTGTTAGGTCTTCTTGGTGGATAGACCCCTTGATTATGATATAATGTCCTTCTGCATCTCTAGATGCAGATTCTAGATTGTCTGATATAAGTATGGCTACTCTGGCTTTTTTTGTTGACCATTAGCATGATAGATGGTTCTCCATCCCCTTATTTTCAATCTGAAGGTGTCTTTAGGTCTAAAGTGGGTCTTGGAAACAGCATATAGATGGATCTTGTTTTATTATCCATTCTGTTACCCTATATCGTTTGATTGGAGCATTGAGTCCATTGACGTTTAGAATGAGTACTGAAATATATGAATTTATTGCCATTATGATGCTTGTAGAGTTGGAGTTTCTGGTGGTGTTTTCTGGTCCTTTCTAAACTTTGTTGCTTTTGGTATTTATTTATTTATTTATTTATTTCTCTATCTATCATCTATCTATGTTTTTTTCCCCATCTTTTCTCCCCTCAGAGAGTCCCCCTTAAAATTTCTTGCAGGGCTGGTTTAGTGGTTACAATCTCCTTTAACTTTTGTTTGTCTGGGGAACTTTTTATCTCTCCTTCTATTTTGAATGACAGCCTTGCTGGATAAAGAATTCTTGGCTGCATGTTTTTCTGATTCAACACATTGAATATATCCTGCCACTCCTTTCTGGCCTGCCAAGTTTCTGTGGATAGGTCTGCTGCAAACCTGATCTTTTTCCCTTGTAGGTTAGGGACTTTTTTTCCCTTGCTGCTTTCATGATTCTCTCCTTGCCTGAGTATTTTGTGAATTTGACTATGATATGCCTTTTTGATGGTCGGTTTTTGTTGAATCTAATGGGGGTCCTCTGTGCTTCCTGGATTTTGATGTTTGTGTCTTTCCCCAGGTTAGGAAAGTTTTCTGCTATTATTTGCTCACATAACCCTTCTACCGCTATTTCTTTCTCTTCCTCTTCTAGGACCCCTATGATTCTGATGTTGTTACTTTTTAATGAGTCACTGATTTCTCTAATCTTAAATCATACTCTTCTGCCTTAATCTCCTTCTTTTTTTCTACTTCATTATTCCCTGTAAGTTTGTCTTCTGTATCGCTGGTTCTCTGTTCTGCCTCATCCATCCTTGGCACCACTGCATCCATCCATGATTGCAGCTCAGTTATAGCATTTTTAATTTCATTCTATTTTTTTTTTTACTCATTTTATCTCCACGGAAAGGGATTCTAATCTATTTTTTACTCCATCTAGTATTCTTATTATCGTGATTGTAAATTCTAGTTCAGACATTTGCATGTATCTGTGTTGGTTAAATCCCTGGCTGTTGTTTCTTCATGCTCTTTCTTTTGGGGTGAATTCCTTCATTTTGTCATTTTGAATGGAGAAAATGAATTAATGAGGTAGAAAAATTAAAATAAAAAATTAAAGTTAAAAATATTAAAATTAAAAAATTAACACACACACATCTAATAAATGATGCTAGATCCTAGGTGTGTTTTGGTCTGGGTGTTGACAGTGGTTTGACAGATTAGAGAAAAAAAGTGAGGGGAAGGAAATCGTTTGAGAATTTGAAAAAATGAATACAGTAAAGTATGCTAAAATGAGATGATGGGAGTAAAATGGAATTTGAAAAAATTTACACAAAAGTAAAGAATATAGTAGGAACAAATTAAACAAAAACATTTTTAATAAGAAGTAAAAATGAAAATGAAATTTTCTCTTTATGTATTCAAGAAAAAGAAAAGAAACAAAAAAGAAAAAAGAGAAAAAAATCATTTGAAAATTTGAAAAAGTGAGTACACTGTAGTAGACTAAAATAAAATGATGGAAGTAAAATAGAATTTGAGAAAACTTACATAAAAATGAAAACTATAGTAAAAAATTAAAGAAAAATATATTTAATAGAAATTGAAAATAAAAATGAATTTTTTCTCTTTATTCAAGAAAAAGAATAGTGTAAAAGAGAAAAAAAAAACAAAGAAAAAGAAAGAAAGAAAATTGAACAGATGGACCTACTAACAGATTGAAATAGGACTGATATTACTTTGTTTTCCCCTATACATTAGACCATGTAGCACTTTATAGTCCATGAACTAAGCAGGCGGTGAGACTTGCGTTCTTGAAGAGTGAGGTTGACCCAGTTGGGCAGGACTCAGTGTAACATCTCCATTCTCCATTAGATGGCGCTGCTAGCCTACTGGGGTGGATTGTTGTTCATGCGTGGGAGCGGTGAAAATGGCATAACCCAGCTACCCAGTCTCTAGTATGGGAACTCTGTTCTCTCTGATTAGCAATCACATGTCATTAATCATTATGGAAATGCAAATTAAAACCACAATGAGATACTACTGCATACCTATTAGAATGATCAACATAAGGAAATAAATTGGTAATACTAAGTACCGGCAAGGGTATGCAATAACTAAAACATTGCCATCTGAATGAAAAATGGCATGCCTACTTTGGAACCAGTTTGTCAATATCTTATAAAGTTCAATATGCAGTTACCATATTAGTAATCCCACTTTTAGGTATTTATGTAAGAGAAATAAAAAGAGATGTATACATGAAAAACTGTATGTGAATGTTTCTACTGGTGGTATTCATAATTGCCAAAAACTAGAAACAATCCAAGTGTCCCTCAACTGGAAAATGAATCAACAAACTGTGGTACATCCATACAATGGAATATCAGAAATACTGGAAATTTAAAGGAATGGACTACTGATAGACAGAACAACATGACTACATCTTAAATGCTTTATTATACGTGAAAGGAGCCAGACGTGAAAGGTTACATACTATATAATGGCATATATATAACATTCTGGAAAAGCCAAAACTATAGGGACAGAAAATCGAGCAGTGGTTACCAGGAGTTGGTGTTTGAAGGAAGCGGTTGATTACAGCAGGGTATGAGGGAATATTTTGGGAGTGGTGAAACATATATTTTGATCATTGGTGGTGGTTACATGACTTTATGTGTTTTCAAAACTTATAAAACTATACTAAAAAGGCTGAAATAGGCGTGTCTGGGTGGCTCAGTTGGTTAAGTGTCAGAGTCTTGATTTCAGCTCAGGTCATGATCCCAGGGTTGTGGGATCGAGCTTCATGTTGGGCTCCTTGCTGAGTGTGGAGCCTGGTTAAGCTTCTCTCTGTCTCTCTTCCTCTGCCCTTTTCCCCTCCTTGTGTTCTCTCTCTCTTAAAAAAAAAGCTTGGGGCGCCTGGGTGGCGCAGTCGGTTAAGTGTCCGACTTCAGCCAGGTCACGATCTCGCGGTCCGTGAGTTCGAACCCCGCATCAGGCTCTGGGCTGATGGCTCAGAGCCTGGAGCCTGTTTCCGATTCTGTGTCTCCCTCTCTCTCTGCCCCTCGCCCGTTCATGCTCTGTCTCTCTCTGTCCCAAAAATAAATAAACGTTGAAAAAAAAAATTAAAAAAAAAATCCTATTGACTTTAGGTTAAAGCTTAAATGCTTTTATTGGGACATTAGTGAGGTCTCCTTCAATTGTGTGTGGGGCAGAAATCGGATTGCAGTGAGTCATGTGTGACGTCCCCTGCGCTTTTCCTTCCTAGAACTTGCCCCCGTTTGAAATTGCTAAATACTCCTCCCTGTTTATCTGTTACTATTTCCCTCTGCTCCACTCTGCTGTACTGAGAGCTCTGGAGGACACTGTTTTTCCACTACACAGACTTATGCTTAGCAAATAGCAAATACTTTCTGTTGAATGAATGAATGAATGAATGAATGAATGAATAAAAGGATGAATCTTGTTGATGAATTCTACATATTGACATTAAACATATTTTTTAGAACATACTTTAAAAATTATTTTAAAAGATAGACAGTACTTCTCAATATCATGCAAAAAAAATCCTGTAGCAATAGTTATTTTTAATCTAAGCCAGTTGATTCCTTACTAGCAGGACAATAACTTTGAATTTTTTATCCCCATCCCCACCCACAGAGATTTACAATATATTGCAAAGATATCCTGTGTGCTCTTCCAGGCTTTTCTGTGTAGTTTCCAATCCAACTTCTTCTTTGCTATATTAATCATCTCCTTGGAACACCATTTGGGGTAAATCCTCAGCCAATGCCCATCAACTCTATATTTTTCTCTAGCTAGCAGTACACTCAAATGAGAATTTGAATCATATGGAAGATCACATCTGCTCCAAAGGGCTTTCCCTGGCTGAAATTATTTTTCTTCACAGGAAGAAAACACTCACACTTTGATTTTGGTGGCAAGAGATATATGTGTGATCCTGGACTCATCTCTTTCAGATTGGCTCCTACTTTGGGGCCTCCCTCTGCTCTGTGGACATGGACAAAGATGGCAGCTCTGACCTGGTCCTTATTGGGGCCCCCCATTACTACGAGCCGACAAGGGGGGGCCAGGTGTCTGTGTGCCCCTTGCCTCGGGGGGTGAGTAGCTGATGGGGTCTAGGCTGGGTGGGGCCTGGGCATGAGCTGGGAGTTGCCCAGGTTGGGACCTGACACTGTTTTTGTTCAGCAGAGGGCTAGATGGCAGTGTGAGACTGTTCTCCATGGGGTGCAGGGCCACCCCTGGGGCCGCTTTGGGGCAGCCCTGACAGCGCTGGGAGATGTGAATGGAGACAAGCTGACAGATGTGGCCATTGGGGCCCCAGGAGAGCAGGAGAACCGGGGTGCTGTTTACCTATTTCATGGAACCTCAAGACCGGGCATTAGCCCTTCCCACAGCCAGGTGAGGCCAGGTCACTGCCCCTGTCATGACAGTAGCCTCTTTGCTGATATGTACTTTTCTTTCTTTCTTTCTTTCTTTCTTTCTTTCTTTCTTTCTTTCCTTGTTTGTTTCTTTCTCTCTCTCTCTTCCTTGGTGTCCTTCCTTTCTTTTTTAACGTTTATTTATTTTTGAGAGAGAGAGAGACAGTGAAAGTGGGGGAAGAGGCAGAGAGAGAGGGGGACAGAAAATCCCAAGCAGGCTCTGCACTGTCAGCATAGAGCCCCATGCTTGGCTTAAACTCATGAACCATGAGATCATGACCTGAGACGAAGTCTGGCGCTCAACCGACTGAGGCACCCAGGTGCCCCTCTGTCCCTTTCTTAAATTAAAAAAAAATGTTTTATTTATTCTTGAGAGGGGGAGGGGCATAGAGAGGGAGACACAGAATCCAAAGCAGGCTCTAAGACTCTGAGCCATCAGCACAGAGCCCAACACAGGGCTCAAACCCACAAACCGTGAGATAATGACCAAAGTCGGGCACTTAACTGAGTTACACAGGTGCCCCTTTCCCTTTCGAATTCAGCATCCTCAGAGCTGCCAGATCAATTCTCCCAGTACTGGATTTTTAGAATCTTCAAAAATAATAACACACTTCATAGAAATTCTTACCACAACTATAGGAGGTGCATGGAGGCACAATCACCCCCTCTTCACAGATGAGGAGATTAAGGCTCAGAGGTAGTAAGTGGTTGGCTGGGAGTGTTGGGATGCAGGCTTTCCTTTCTTCTGAATCTCAATCTTGGTAGAGTGACCAGTAGTCCTGGTTTGCTCAGATCTGTCCCAGTTTTAGTGCTCAAAGTCTTGAATCTCAGGAAACCCCTACAGTTGGTCACCCTACAGGACTACATGTTCATGGGTTGGTGATATATACAGCCACACAGAAGGGCCCTGCACTTGGTTTAATGCTCTGTTCATGCTGTCTTGAAATTCTTAATTTTGAACAGGGTGTTCTGCATTTTGTTTGTTTTTTTGTTTTTTGTTTTTTGTTTTGGTACTGGGTCCTGCAAATTATGTAGTCCATCTTGATGGTTGGTCACCTGAAATCTTGGTCACCACAACTGGTTTCCTCTCTAAAATGGCTCCTTGCTTCTTGCTAGATGGAGCCCACTGTTTGGAGGGATCCCAGAGTCTGGTTCTCTCCCATCACTGCCAGCTGAGACCATCTGGTCTTCTACCCTTGGATCTCTGACTTTTTTCCAGCCTTACCTTTTTCTTATGTTCTTTTTCTCTCTGTCCCCCATCGCTTCTACCAAATCCCTCACACCAGAGTTTCAATCCTATGAACGCATTAAAATTACTTGAAGGCCTTGGGACACCTAGATGGCTCAGTTGGCTAAGTGTCCGACTTCAGTTCAGGTCATGATCTCACGGTTTGTGGGTTCAAGCCCTGCTTTGGGCTCTGTGTTGACAGCTCAGAGCTTGGAGACTGCTTTGGATTATGTGTCTCCCTCTCTCTCTCTGCCCCTCCCTCATTCATGCTCTGTCTCTGTCTCTCAAAAAAAAAATAAACAGTAAAAAAATAAAATTACTTTAAGGTCTTAAAAGGCACAGATGCCTGGACTCTGCTAATAAGAGCTCCAGTTTAATTGGTCTGGGGCAGTGTGCCAGCTATCAGTAGAGTTTTCCAGCACTATTTAGAAAAATTTCAAATTCACAACAAAGTGAAGGAATTGTACAATGAACACCCATATATTTACAACCTAGAATCTACAATGAACATTTGACTAAATTTATGTTATCACAGATCAAACCTTTTATTCATCCTACTTCTATCCATCCATCAGTCCATCTTGTTGTTTTAAACTACTTTTTTTAAAAAGTTTTTGTTTAGAGAGAAAGTGTGTGTGCATATGAGCAGGGGAAGGGCAGAGAGAAAGAGAGAGAGAGAATCCCAAGCAGGCTCTGTGCTGTCAGCGTGGAGCCTGACATGGGGTTTGAACTCACAAATTATGAGATCATGACCTGAGCCAAAACCAAGAGTCATATGCTTAACTGACTAAGCCACCCAGTACCATTGTCCATCTTATTTTTAATGAATTTTAAAATTCTAATTGAAAATAAGTTGCAATACCCCTAAATAGTTCAGTATGTTTATCATTAACTAGAATTCAATATTTGCTTACTGTTGTTTTAGGATAAAGTTTACAGACAGGAAATGTGCAAATCCTTTGCCACTCAGTGATTTTGATAAATGCATACACATGTGTAACCCACACCCTTATCAAGATATAGAACATAATCACCACTCCAGAAAGTTCCCTCCTGCCCCTTTCCAGTTAATTTCTGACCCCACTCCATTCCAGAGGAAAGCACTGTCCTGATTATTTTCCACCATAAATGAGTTTTGCCCATTCTAGAATTTCATATAAATGGAATAGAATGAGATGCAGGCGCCAGTATTTTTAAGACACTTGTTAGTTGCTGCCAGGGATAAGAAGCACTGCCTAACCCACTTCTCTCTGCACCAGGGAGCCTTTTTCCACACACAATTGTATGAATATTGTAATTAGGCCTCTTTTCACTGACACCTGTTGCTTCTCTGTGTCAATGCAGTGTGAAGGCTCTGATTTTACTTTATTTTATTATAAAACCTTGATATGCTCGTATAAATTTATTAATCTAAAGTAAACAGTGAAAGCCCTAGTTCCCTCTCCTTATCTGCATCATAACTCACTTTGCAAAGGAAAACAAAGGTAAGGGGAGGGTGCTTTATATGTACACACACACATACACACACACACACACACACACCCCACAGACCCAGGAATTAAAAACAAATGCCAAAAGGATTATCCTCTCCTTTTCTACTGTTTACTATCTTATCCTTTTCTACTGTATGCATTTTTTTACTTGCTTTTTTCTTTATGATTGAGGATAAGGTTGGTCAGTGTTTGGATAAGTAAATATGCTGTGGATCTCCCAACTGTGTAATTTTACTTTATAGCTAATGACAAAACAAAACTTCCTCCAAACAGAATACAATAAATTTTTCTCAAAAAACGTTGAGGTATAATATACATACACTAAACACATAAATCTTAAGTGATGAATTTTCACATATCTGTGTACCCAAGTAAGCACCATTTAGATTTAGATATAGCATATACCCAGCATCCCATGCTTCCTCATCCTTCCTTTCAGTTAACAAAATTTGGAAAAAATGTGGTAAAATATATATTACATAAAAGTTTTCATTTTAACCATTTTAAGTGTAAAATTCAGTGGCATTAAGTACATGACAAGATGACTTTGAAATTTTCTTTTTATTTGGTTGTTATTCTTTCAGTGTTATTCTTGCACATAGATTAAAGAGTAAAAATTGTTCTTATATCTCATTATGAAAAATAACAATCACCACACTCACACTGCAACTTCCTCTTCATTTTCCCTTCTCTTGAGGAAACTTTATTTCAGATTTTTCAATTATTGTCTATACTCCCCAATAAGATGATTATTTTGCTGCTTCTTGACTTTTATTTTAGCATTGACTTCCCTCTATGAGAGGTGAGCTCTCTTTCAGAGGGCTTGCCCCCTCGGCCCTTTCACCTCTTTGCCCCACTCCTTACATTTATATGAGAATTTTGGTAGATTGATATTCAGTGTTTGCATTATTTTGACATGTCAATGATATTAGGTGAGTCAAATAGCATGCTATGTCACTTCTTTCCTTTTTTTAAAAGTTTTTTTTAGAAGTTTCATCATTTTGAGAGAGAGAGAGAGAACATGAGCAGGGGAGGGGCAGAGGGAGAGGGAGAGAGAATGTCAAACAGGCTCCGCATGGTCACCACAGAGCCTGGCGTGGGGTTCAGTCCCACGAACTGTGAGATCTTGACCTGAGCCAAAATCAAGTGTTGGACATCCAACCACCCAGGTGCCCCTGTAATTTCTTTCCTGTAAAAGTTTGTCCTGGAAAACCTAGGTGATTGATGGAAACTTTGGGTATCATCTCAAGGCTGTGGTCTAAAGCTGAATGGTTGCCCTAATTCCCTGAGAAGTTATAAGAGATGAGACTTGAGTGGAACCCAGACAATCTGTCCTCTTGGGTCATTCTGGGTAACCGAGTTACACACTTCCCTATTCTTTCCCACTCTCTTTCTCTCCTCTTTTCTACATTCAGCGGATTGAAGGCTCCCAGCTCTCCCCCACACTACAATATTTTGGTCAGTCACTGAGTGGGGGCCAGGACCTCACAATGGATGGACTGGTGGACCTGGCTATAGGAGCTCAAGGCCATGTACTGCTGCTTAGGTAAGAAATTCTTTTATAGCACACCAAATATCTTCCCTTTCAGGAGTGGCTTTGCTGTCTGAAGGCCCCTGATGGTCCTCTGGTGTCCCTACAGATCCCAGCCTGTGTTGAGACTTGAGGTGACCATGGAGTTCACACCCAAAGAAGTGGCAAGGAATGTGTTTGAATGTCGTGCAAAGGTGGTGAAAGGTCAGACTGCTGGGGAGGTTAGAGTTTGCCTTCGTGTCCACAAGAATACACGGGACAGGCTAAGAGAAGGTGAGGCTGGGTAGGTAAGTCTGAAAGGGTTAAATAACTGGAGATATTGATGGGTGTCCCAGTGCAGTCTTCCCAGCCTTCTGGCAGTCCAGAGCAAACTTCCACAGGCTTCTACAGCCTTTTCGAAGCTTTGCTGGAGTGAGAAGACAGTTCCCTGACTGGGTACAGAGGCCCAGAAAACCTCACCAGAAGTGAGCATGTGACACTCCTTTATTCTCTCAGTTCTCCAGAGAAACAATGGCCCCACATCTGTGAAATAACCAGGATTTTTTTTAAGTCAAGAGATAACTCATTTAAAGGGCAGGTTGAGTTGATGAAGCTAAACACAAGTTCAGAAAACATTTAGGCATGGCATTTTATCACAACTAACTTGACTTTCTCCTTGTCTCTAATCTGAAAGAGTGGCATTGTGCTGGGTGTGGGGGAATTATAATGATGGTACTAGAGAGAAATGAGGGAATAAAATTAGGTTTCTAACAGTAATCTTACTAGGCTGAGGAGACAGCTTGCATGGCTAGACATTAATATAAAAGTGTTGGAGAGTAGAGAATCATGTAGAAGGTGCCCCCAAACCTACATATAAATTCCTCTCAAGTCATAGGCTGACTTCATCAGCAATGTATGTCTAGATCAATAATCTAAGAAACTCAGTAGAAGACAGCAGCCAAAGAGTTGTATAGAAGTTCAGCTCCCTAGTGCTGGGGAAACAGAAATTTGAGAGGGGTATTGGTAAGCAACTTGGTCTTTCTATTGGAACAATGTGTATTCAGACCAGCAACTAAGAGAAACAATAGACAATAGAAATAGACCCACAGGTGATTCAGAAATTGGAGTTATTAGGAATCTAAAAAACAACTACAGTTAATATCTTCAAGAAAAAAAGAGAAAATGATGGAGAACTTCAGAAAAAACCTGGAATTCATAAAATAGAGTAAAATGGAAACTATAGAACTGAAAAATACCCTGACTTAAATTAAGAATTCAATAAATAGATTTGATAGTAGGTTCAAAGTGGAACAAAGAATTAGTGAACTGGAAGGTAAATCAATTGAGAGTATTTAGATTAACACACACAGAGAAAAGAGGATGAAAAATACAGAAAAAAATCATAAGACATATGGAGCATGGTGAAAAATTTAATAAATGTAATTTGAAATTGAAAGAAGAGAGAATAAGAAAGAAGCAACAAAATAGAGGGAAAATTTTTTCTTTTTTTATTTAAATTTATTTACTTATTTTGAGAGAGAGAGAGAGACAGAGACAGAGAGAGCACAAGCAGGGGGAGAGGCAGAGAGGAGAGAGAGAATCCCAAGCAGACTCCAAGCTGTCAGTATAAGCCTGAAGTGGGGCTCATGTGAAATCATGACCTGAGTCAAAATCAAGCGTTATACCCTTAACTGACTGAGCCACCCAGGGTTCCCAGTAACAATTTTTTTTTAAACTAATGAAAGACATCAAGATTCTCTGCCAAAACAAAGCAAGATAAATATAAAGGAAACCATACCATAGTACATTATACCAATGTATATGACACATTGTACCATTCCAAGGCACAAATTACTGAATGCCAATGACAAAGAGAAAGAAGTTAAACGCAACCAGAAAAATATACTTAGTTTTCTAGTGTGTAACAGAATAGCTACTATTTTTTGAGTACTTTCTGTGTGGCAGGACTGTGATAAATGCTTTATAGACACTATTTCATTTCATTTTCACCACTGAGAAGGTACAATTATCTTCCTCAACTTAAAAATAAAGAATGGACAGGGTGCCTGGGTGGCTCAGTCGGTTAAGCATCCAACTCTTGACTTGGGCTCAGGTCATGATATCAAGGTTTGTGAGTTCGAACCAGCTGGCTCTGTGCTGACAGCATGGAACCTGCTTCGTATTCTCTCTCTCCCTCTCTGCCCCTCCCTTGCGTTCTCTCTCTCTCTTAAAAAAATTTAAAAAATAAGGAATGGAGACTCAAAGAGGTCAGGTAGCATGCCCAAAGTAGAGCTGGGCCTCAAACTCATGCTTGTCTGACTCCAAAGCTGGGATCCTCACTACCATGCTGCCCTGCCCCTTCAGGAGAGATTCAGAGCAACATCACATATGACTTGGCTCTGGAGCCAACTCTCCCACATCCCCGAGTTGTCTTTGATGAGACAAAGAACAGCACACGCAGACAGACAAGAATCTTGAAGCTGAATCAAGAATGTGAGACCCTAAAGCTACTGTTACCGGTGAGCAAGGGTTGGCCACACTCCTGGGTCCTCCATGCATGGGGTGGGTTTGGGAATCTAAGGAGGGCAAACCCTCAAACCCCCTACTATCTCTCAGTATTGTGTAGAGGATTCAGTGAACCCCATCATCCTGCACTTCAACTTCTCTCTGGTGGGGAAACCCTTGTCCTTATTCGGGAACCTCCAGCCAGTGCTGGCTGTGGATGCTCAGAGACTCTTCACAGCTTCGGTGAGTTCTGGAGTTGGGGTCCTTCAGGGTCATGGAAGACACCAGAGGCCAAGATTGTTGAAGAACATTTTATTTCATTTCACATAATTTTATTTCAATATTTTATTTTATTTTGACTTAAATTTTAGTTAACATACAGTGCAATATTGGTTTCAGGAGTAGAATTGAGTGATTCATCACTTACATACAACATCCAGTGCTCATCACAACAAGTTCCCTCCTTAATACCCATGACCCTTCTAGTCCATCTCCCACTCACTTCCCTCCATCAACCCTCAGTTTATTCTCTGTCATTAAGATTGTCTTGTGATTTGTTTCCCTCTCTTCTCTCCCTATCCCCTTCCCATATGCTCATCTGTTTTTTTTTAAGTTCCACATATAAGTGAAATCATATGGTATTTGTCTTTCTCTGATTGACCTATTTTACTTAGCATAATACACTCTAGCTCAATATTTTATTGTTTCATTTTATTCTTTCCTTTTCTTTCATCATACTTTATTTTTTTGTAGTTTCCTTTTGAGCAGAATTGTGGCAGTGACAACATTTGCCATGATGACCTCAGCATCACCTTCACTTTTATGGGGTGAGTTTCTTTTCCTCACTGCTACCTGAAAACCTGCACCACAACCTGGTGCTCTGTTCTGGCCTCTGAGGGAGCCTGGAACAGAGCAGCTGCTTTGGAGGTGTTTGTGTGGTTGCCCCATCCACTGTCTTCTCTCTCCAAGAGTCTGTGCCACCAGAGTAGACTTGCCACATGGAGGGCCTCAGCATCTCACGGCCTGGCTTGTTCTTTCCACAGTCTGGATACCCTTGTGGTGGGTGGTCCCCGAGACCTGAATGTGACATTGACTGTGAGAAACCAGGGCGAGGACTCCTACAGGACTCAAGTTACCTTCTTCTACCCACCTGGCCTGTCCTATAGGAGGATGTCAGTGACCCAGGTAGTCAAATCCTTCTCAGGCTCTGACTTTGCTTTCCTTGTCCCCACAGGTTCTGGTTCACATCATCATCTCTGTCTCCCTCCCTTGCCTTCCAGAAGCAGCGCTCACAGCGACCATGGCGCCTGACTTGTGAGTCTGAAGACTCCACCAATGGGCCCGAAGCTTTGAAGAATAGCAGCTGCAACATAAGCCACCCCATCTTCCCAAACTACTCAGAGGTCGGGCTGCTGTCCCCCTCTCCCTTTCTTTTTTGTCTTTTTCTGAATTCTTTTCTTATTTTTTAAAAATAGAGGCTCCTTTTTTTGTTTTGAAAAATAGATTTACTGAGATACAATTCGTATACCATACAATTCACCTATTTCAAGCAGACAATTGGGTGGCTTTTTAGTATGTTCACAGAGTTACATATTCATCACCATGATCAATTTTAGAATATTTTATTACCTCGAGAAAAGACGCTGCTCTCCTCAGCCATCAATTCTAGTCCTCTCATTTCTCCAAGCCCTAGGCAACCACTAATGTATTTTCTGTCTCTAGGTACACCTATTCTGGACACTTCTCATGTATATTTGCAGCATCTATCAATATTTTATTTCTTTTTACTGTTGCATAGTATCCTGTTGTATGGAAGCACCACATTTTATTTATCCATTCTTTAGTTGATAGACATTTAAGTTGTTTCTTCTATTCTTTTCACTGTCTCTCCTCTCTCTAACTCCAGATCACCTTTAATATCACATTTGGTGTGGAATCTGATGCTTTCTTTGGAAACAGACTACTACTCAAGGCCAATGTGACCAGGTGTGCTGTGCCTATCTTACCCCCTTTGAGGCCCCAACCCCCTGCCCAGGATGGACCACTACCCTCTCCCCACTGGTTCTCTCCTCAGCTTAGTCAGTTATTTATTCATTCATTCAATAAATACCAACTGAGCACTCACCATGTACCAGGTGCTGGTGAGACAGTGATGGACAAGACAGCTGTGGTTCCTGCCCTTACAGAGATTATAATTTAGTGGAAATATACACAGGAAAGCTCTCTGTTTCCCTTTAGTGAGAACAACACAACTAAGACCAACAAAACTGAATTCCAACTGGAGTTGCCTGTGAAATACACTGTCTTCGTGGTGGTCACCAGGTGCTGGATTCTAGGGCTTTAGCTCTGCCTTTACCATTATGCTGGACATGACCCATTGTGTATTTGTGTGTGTGAGTCTATGCACACGAGTGCCTGTGTATATGTGTTTATATGTGCCTGGGAGTGTATTTGTGCCTGTGTGCATATGTGTGTGTGTAACCCAAGCTAGCACATCCTGTGTGTCTGACACACATCCCCCCCTGCTTACTGCCCCACTGACACCTTCTCAGGACAGCATTACCCATGTATTTGTTCACTCTCTTACATACTTAGCCCAAGACTCCTTCTCAGGACACCTCTGATATCCTGACACCTCCTGTACTTTCTTCTTTCTCCCATCAGCCATGAAGTCTCCACCAAATATCTCAGCTTCATAGCCTCAGAGAAGACCAGCCACAGTATAAAGCACCAGTATGAGGTGGGGAGCTGAGAAGGATGACAGGGAGGGAAATCAATGTGCTGGGAATGCAATAATGGGAAATAATGATGGGATACATGCCTCAGGTGCCTACTATGTTCTGGGCTCTGTTCCAAGTTTACTTTCACCCTATACACACAGAACCACACACACACACACACACACACACACACACACACACACACACCTCATTTTATCCTTACAATGAGTCTTTGAAGGAGGCACTATCATTATCTCCAGTTCACAGATGGAGAAACTGAGGCTCATAGAAGTTAACAGAACATGGCCACAGTGTCCCCACTAGTAAGTGGAAGAGACACCACTTATTACCAACCTATCTGGGTCTTGAATGTGTGTTTAAGTGCTACAATTTACTGCATCCCAGAAAGCATCAAGAGGCAGGCTGCTTGGGTCTGTGAGGCCTTATTTAAGTGTACTGGGGTGTCAGGAGTGGGAAGACTGATTTTGGTTGCTGGTGTAAGTGGAAAGGCCAGAGCTCTGAAGTCCACTGCCTTCTTCCCACTGTGCAGGTCAACAACTTGGGACAGAGGAGCCTCCCCATCATTGTGGTCTTCTGGGTGCCTATCAAGCTGAACCAGGTGGCTGTGTGGGACAACCTCCAGGTCACCCTTTCCCAGGTAAGCCTAGCTGGGCTTGAGAAGTGTCCTAACTCCTCCCTCCATAGCCCTTGTCTTTCCTAAAATCTCTGTTTTATTTTGGAGAGACTTTGACCTTCTCCTGGACTTAGGCCATTTCAGCCTCCTTAAGCCTGGATTCACAAGCCCTCATTTCTCTCTATTCTCATGGTGTCTCTTTTCCTCAGAACCTCTCCAGAACATGCAACACCACGGAGAATTCTCCCCCTCTCTCTGACTTCATGGCAGAGCTTAAGAGGGCCCCAGTGGTGGTAAGAATAAGCCAGACCCAGCACTGTCCCCTTGTTGATGCTCAATACCATCTGTCAACTGAGTGGGCTGGGTGCATGAGCATTTTTGATTCCAATTTCTTTAGTCACTTCTCCCCTTTCTTCCCTTCCCCAGAACTGCTCCATTGCTGTCTGCCAGAGAATCCAGTGTGACATCCCATCCTTCAGCATCCAGGAAAAAGTCAACATTACCCTCCAAGGCAAACTCTCATTTGACTGGTATATCAAGGTATGTGAAGGACAGGACTCAGCTGGGCATGGACATGATATTTCAGAGGGCCCATGGGTCCAGATTCAATCTACTCTCTCCTGTAGACTTCAGCAAACTACCTTCAGGTTGTGACCATGGCAGAGGTCTTGTATGATGATTCGAAGTTTGCCCTGCTTCCAGGACAGGAGGCATTTCTGAGGGCCCAGGTATCTATCTTTGGCACAGAGGGACTATTGGAGGTAGGAGCTGAGGCTGGGCTTGTGGAGATCTCTGGGTAAAGAGCTAGAAAGAGACAGAGGAGGAGGAGTGGGAGGAGGAGTGAGGGCAGAGGGAGGGGCCAGTCATTGGGTTAAGTGGGGGCAGAAGGTCTGACTGGGGAACCCCTAGAAATTTGGGGTTCCCCTGATGTACCCTCCCTCCCCCTGCTACAGATAGAAACCAAAGTGGAGCCAAATGAAGTGCACAACCCTGTACCACTTATAGTGGGCAGCTCAGTGGGGGGGCTGGTGCTTCTGGCCCTCATCACCGCTGGACTGTACAAGGTATCCCCTCTTCCTGTTTGCTCTCCTCTATCCTCACTGCTTCTTACTCAGCAGCTCATTATTGGGTTCAACTCACACCAAGTCACAGAGTCTCAGTTTCTTCAGCTATGAAATGAGAATATAAATACTACTTTGTGAAGGTAATTGGGTTAATATATATGTAGTGTACTTAGAATGGTCCCTGGTACAGAATGACCACTATGTAAGGGTTAATCCTTCTTGTATGTTTTATTTATTTTCACTTTCCTGACTCTAACATCAAAGCCATCTCTTTCTCTGCCCCACTTTCCCCAGGTCTCTTTACACTCTGTCACATTATTCTTTGTGCCTCCTGGCCCCTATGTCTCCCCTCCTGTTCTGCATGGCCTTCACCACTTCCCTGACTTTGGTGGCCCTTACTCCTCTGTCTTTGCCTCCACAGCTTGGCTTCTTCAAACGGCAGTACAAGGACATGATGAGTGAAGCTGGTCCCAATGCCCAGCCCCAGTAACAGCTCCTTCCCCATTGAGTGGCCTCTCCTGCAGCAAGTAGGATTCTGGTTAGACCAGCATGCAAGTCCCCAGGCTGTTGGGCAGACTCTGCTATTAGGAGAGTGGGGTGGTAACATCTCAGTCGAAAAAGAACTGCTTGGGTTTCCATTCATGTGTGTGTGTGTTTGTGCAAGTGTGTGTGCAAGCATGTGCATGAGTTGTGTGTGTGACTCAGATGTCTTTTGCATGGGGATGAGTGCCGTCAGTACAACCTCTCAGGCAGAAGAGAATTGATTAGGCTTCTTTGTGTGTGGGTGAAGGTGCCATTGGGCCTTCCTCTTGACAGAAGTGATGGCAGATTTTGTGGGTGAAGATAAAGGGAAATGTAACAGATCCTGTTCCTGCTGAAGGAAGCAAGACCTTCTTTCATAGGTGAGGACACATATCTGCAAGATGCTTTGCAGCTGGATCAAGACCACATGGAGGAGCTGTGATGGAGCCAGGATCTGATTAGCCACCAGGAGCCTGTCCACTCATTCCATTCCATACTAGAGCTACATAAGGTCCAATGAGCAATGGTGCACCTCCTTTTATGTATGCATTTACTTATTATTTTTAATATTACTTTTATTTTTTGGAAGGGTAAACCCATCGACAGAACAAAAATCAAAAGTTGTCCAAGCATGAATGATGAAAATTTTCCCTTCCATCCTGGTCCCCCTAGCCATTCAAGTCCTTCCTAAGGGGTTATAAGGTTATGTGTTTTGGGGTCTTCTTCACAAAGATTTTAAGCATATGCAAACACACACACATAAGCTTTTTTACACAAATGGTAATAGGTGTTATTTATACTGTTTTGCATCTTGCTTTATTCATCAATATGGCTTAGATGTTTTATATCAAGACAAAGTATTTTTTTTTCATTCTTTTATACAGCTGTGTAGTATCCCATTGTATGGAAAGATCATGCTGTATTTAACCAGTTTCTTTTCGGTATATTCTTTCCAACCTCTTGCAACTACAAACAATGATGAATTAATAAATTGAATATATGTAATTTTTGCATATGTGTAAAGATAATTTATAAGATATATTCTCAGAAGTTTGGGTTCTCCCAGAAACAAATTCAAGATAAGAATTTGAGTGAAAGAAGTTTATTTAACAGTGGCCCCAAGAAATAGGGGAGGGATGTGAGCTGGGAAGGAAAGACATCCAGGAAAGTCATCCATTTTCAAGAGGGACCACTCTGAACCCTTGGAGCAGAACCCTACTGGGATTTCTGGGAGACAGTGTAGAATGCACACCTCAACATTGCCCCACTTGAAGACAGAAGGAGATGAAATATGTATAGTTGACCTTTGAACAACGCGGAGGTTAGGGGCACTGACCCCTCACACAGTTGAAAATCCATGTATGACTTTTGACTCCCCAAAAACTTAATTACTAAGTCTTACTGACATAACATAAATAGTCAACACATAATTTACATATTGTATGTATTATATTGTATTATTTTATGTATTCTTATAATAAAGTAAGCTAGAGAAAAGAAAATGTTATTAAGAAAATCACAAGGAAGGGGTGCCTGGCTGGCTCAATCAGTAGAGCATGAGACTCCTGACCTTAGGGTCATGAGTCCAAGTTCTATGTTGGGCATGGAGCCTATTTAAAATAAAAATTAAAAAAAATTTAAGAAAAAGAAAATCATAATGAAGAGAAAATACATTTACAGTACTATATGTATCTTCATTGGAAAAAATCCACATAAAAGTGGACCTGTGCAATTCAAACCTGTGTTGTTCAAGAGAACTGTCCACCAATTCTGCAGTTATTGGCTGAGATCTGCTCTTGGTGGGGAAGGGAGTCATTAATTCTCTGGCACTTCTGGCCTGCCCTGAATGAGGACAGAGTGGGCTCTGGTTGTCAGAGAAAGAGATAACAGGTGCTGCTAGTTGGAAGTCTGACTGATGAGGCTATGCTCCCCTGGCAAGGTCCACAGGGATCTGGGCAGGGCACCAACAGCACTTGCTACCAAGGGTGTGTACAGGTAAAGTTTTGATAGCTGTTTCTAGGTAGCCTTCCCTCCCCCCAGTGCCCATCTCCCATACCTTTGTCAGTGCAGTAGCCACAACTCTGGCTTCAGCATGTATCCTAATTCTCACACTAGTCCTGCTAAGTAGCCACCACTTGCTGGTTAATAACATTGCTATTTAATATACCTGAATTTCACTTATGAGAAAACTGAGGCTTGGGGAGATCACACTAATGGCCTGAGGTCATTACAGATAGAACTAGAATGGAGCTGGGATTCAAATCTGGTCTGTCTGGTTCCAAAGCTTTCCTCCTTTACTGTCCTGATGATTTTTGAAGAATGGGTGTACAGCAGGGGCAGTCAGGAATGGGTGTGCAGCAGGTACGAGTTAAGTGTCAGGAGAGTGACTTATTCAGCTGTTATAATAATATTAGGTGAGCCATATGAAAGTGCCAACATGTTGACAAAAATGACAATTTCATGGGGCTCATCAAAATACAAGAAAATCATGGTTTAGATTAACAGAAATGCAAGAAAATCATTGCTCAGATGGAAGCCTGTTCCAGATATGATAGGAAGAGGGAAGGGATCTTCCTGTTTGGGAAGGTTTGGGAAGAGACCCCAGGATAGGCAACACCTGAATCAAGTAGGGGCCGAAGTGTTCCAGTTAGGGGACAGCATAGATGGGGCTGGAGAGTGGGCAAGAGCTTGGGCAGATGCCCTTTGTAAGCCAGAGTGGAGGAGTTCTAATTTTATTCAAAGTGCAATATGATGTCATCAAAGAGTGACTAATGAGACAATGGCCCTTTGTATCCTGGGGGTGCCATTACACATGTCAGATGATTCCACATACACATTTAGATGATTTAGATACACATTTAGATGATTCCACACAATTTTCTCTTCTGACTTTAAAATCCATTAAAAATGTTTTTTTCCTTTCTTAGGTTAAAAGATAAATGACCTTAATATCTGCAGAAGTCCTTAAATGCCCCAGGAAAGAGGGCCTCTCTATCTGCAGGGACCTGCTCTTGGATGAGCAGCTAAAGTCTTGTGGGCTCAGAGTCCACATTGGCATCATTGAATCGGAAGCTTGTGTCGAACTCAGCCAGATAGGAGTTTTATGATGGGTTGGAAAAGAAATAATTTCCAGTGACAAATTCTCTTAACATGACCATAATGTTACTAATAAACAGGGCCATAAATCTCTCATGATAAGCAGCCAAACCAAGAAAGTCTGCCTTTGATTTTACTTTTTGGGGTCCCTTGATTCAGAATAAATAAATCCCTTCAGTCTCTACCCTCCTTTTCTTACTTAGTAATAGGGTTCTTATCTGGGCCACCATGGAATATTGTTAGAATTATAATCTCCAGTGAATTGTCCCTCTTTGTATCCCACTCCTTGCACTGGGATATTGTGCTCTTTCCATCAAGTGGAGGAGCCTATCTCGACTCCCTGGAATTTGGGCTGGTCTTGTGGCTTACTTTGACCAATAGAATGTGGTGGCTTAAGGGATGTGTTGGAGTTCCAGAACCTAGGCCATGAGAAGCACTACAGCTTCTGCTCCCACCCTCACACCATCATGCTGATACCCATCTAGCACATTGGAGAATGAGCAGCCATATGGAAGAGACGACTAAGGCTCCTAGCTGATAGCACAACTGCATTCCCGAGGCCATTGTGACTCTTCCAGCCCAGTCCTGGAATCTGATGACTGCAGCCACTGGCAAGTCCAACAAAAGAACTGCCCAGAACTGTGGGAAATAATCCACTCTGCTTTGGAATAGTTTGTTATGCCACAATGGATAACAAATATGGCCACCCAGTTAAAGAACACATTTCCCAGTTTCCTATACAGCTATGATGGCCATGTGGCTATTTTCTGACTAATGGGATATGAGTAGGGTGAGTGAACAACTTTGGAGTCTGGTCTTCTGAGAGAAGAAGTGTACCTCTTTTCTCCTTACCATCTTTACCAACTGAAGTGTGCCATTCACCATTTTAGACTTTGCTGACAAGGGCAACACTTAAGAATGCCAAAGTGAGACAGAGTTTGGGTTCTAATTCTGTAGAACCACTATGTTATCCATGGACTCCATAATCTCATATTGTTATAAGAAAGAGAAATATTCTTTAAGGCACTGGTATTTTGAGTCTTCAACACAGCAGTTGTCCCTGTATTGTAACTAATAACATTACCTTCTCAAGAGTTTTTACCTACTTGGTCAAAGAAACTAAACTTGTGGTAAATTCTGATAGTGCTGCTACCCCAGTTTCTAGCATTTCAGTCCCCTCCTTCTTGTCAGGACTTATGATATGACTGGCACCTAAAATGGGGGGGGGTGCTGGAGAATGTTCCACTCTATCCATTCTCAGGCTGGTCACAGGCATCAGTAATACTTTCTTCATCTGTGGGATCTTCCTGATGAGCCCACTTGGGTTGGTCTCCAGGATTTATCCCCAACCTCTGAGATCACAAAAGTGGGGTCCTTCCTGCTGACTAAATGACCTCATAGAGAAATTAATTGTCCTGTTTCACCTGTAGATGCATGAGAAAGGTACTTGGAAGGTATTTCTCCTTTCTCTGTCTTGAGAGATTACCAGAGATGTGTGTCCTGATGGTGTGAATTTCCCCTCCCCAGGGAAAGTTCAGAGCCTTTAAAAAAATCTATTGCTTTTACTCACAGCTTATTTATTCTTGTTTGTTTCAAATTTTTATTTAAATTCTAGTTATTTAACTTATAGTAATATTGATTTCAGGAGTAGAATCTAGTGATTCATCACTTATATATAACACCTAGTGCTCATGCCAACAAGTGCCCTCCTTAATACCCATGACGCATCTAGCCCATTCCCTGCCCACCTTCCCTCCAGCAGCCCTCAGTTTGTTTTCTATAGTTAATAGTCTGGAATGGGTTTCCATCTTTCTTTCCTTCTTTCTTTCTTTCTTTCTTTCTTTCTTTCTTTCTTTCTTTCTTCTTTCATTT